GAATTCGCGTTTTTTCTTTTGATTCTTTCAATTGCATTACGCATTATTGCAATAATTTCTATCGTTACATTTAATTCTAATTGTTTATCAGCTTTTCTGCTGCTATCGACCCTACATTTTACTCGGGATAGACGAATCGATCCTATATTTTACTGATATTTAAATCGCTTGGTTGCCTTGACTCACGTTTCATGCTTATCTTTTATTCGCTGTCCTTGTCTACGTTCGGCAAACTACAAAGGCGGGCGCGAGGCTCGAAAACGTAGTCCCTGACTCTACGAGTGTCAGGTTTAGCTTCCTTGCGGTCTGACACTTGCGGAGAATATACTGTAATTCGTCCGGTGGTGCATGTGATAATTATAATCATCGCCTGTATAATTTAGTTGTAATTTTAGTAATTAATGGCCGGTCAAATACTCGATAAACCGGGCCTGGTGATCAATATAATTTCGATGATTGGTAATTAACTAATTCGCCAGGGCATTTGTTTGTGTTCGAAGTTTGATCTCGATTACTGCATCGATTTAGATGGATTTAGTTTCTTTTCTTGCTTATTATTTGGCGATTTTCTTTCGGTTCTATTTAAAATATTATTCTTACAATTCTATCTCACTCTCTCTGACTTGTTAGTTTCGGTTTTAATCATCTGTTACTTTTAACCCTTTCGTGGCAGAGTATTTTCCTGTGATTTATCTTAGAGGTCATCGTGTATGTAACGGACAGACTAAATTCAGATCAATTTTTGTTTGAGTACTCAAGTGAGACATACACGTTCTAAAAGGGTTAAAAGTAATCCTCCATGTTGTAAAAACTTTACTCTCTAAAAATTGGTGAAAACAGCTGAAAGATAAATTTATACCCTCTGAAAAAATTGAAACCTTTCGTTAAGTACATAGTTACCTATGAAAAAAATTCCCAAAATTCACCTTACTCTTAGACGTCGCAGGGTGTGTGTGTACCCCTGGTAAGAAAAATTTTCTGTATATTTGATATCGGATATTTTCAAGATATCGACACTATCAATCAGTGGTTAAAGGATTCGGAAGAATTGCACTTACAAAAAACGGAAAGCTTGATGGTGGCCCTTAAGGGCTTGTCGATGGGTATGGCAGGGTGATTGGCCTCGCAGGTGTAATCCATGTCGTTGTCATCTGCAGTGGGGACGATGACAATAGAGCCGTGGGTGTCATATTTCAGCAATTCCTTTTTGTTTTCACCCGGCTTCTGTAGCTCTTTGTCTGAAACGATGAAAAAAACAATACGTGTTATTTGAAACATGTGAATGAAGAATATTTTTGACATTTAAATCGTGGTGTTTTAAAGGGTGCTTTAAAAGAAAAAATGAAAATTTAAAGTTACTTGTTAAGTAAACCGATAGTTCTTTTCAGATTTGATTTCCTATTTTTAGGACAGAAAATT